AAATAAAATTTTTATAAATCAAATGATCGATAAGTTCTTAAATATTTCGAATCTAATAAAATAAATTTTAAAACGAAGCAATTTCTTAATTAAATTAGATTAGATTAAATGATTAAAATGCATGAATCACTTAAAAAAAAAAAAAAAAAAAAAAAAAAAAAAAAAAAAAAAAAAAAAAAAAGAAAGAAAAAAAAAAGATCATTGATCGAATGAAGAAAAAGGAGAAAAAACTATAGATCTACAAATTTACAATGATCGCATATCCTGCGAATTCATAAATAAAATAATAAAAATCGACGCTTTAGTTTCTCTACCAGAAACTATCGTAAATAGAGAAAATAAAACGTTCTTCTTTTTCTTCTTTTTTTTTTTTTTTTTTTTTTTTTTTTTTTTTTTTTTTTTTTTTTCCTATTGATCACGTAATGCTTTAAAGGGTTAAATAAATGGGTACAAAAAAAATACAATATACATTAAGCAGGATTACGTTTGTCGATCGTGGTGGCAAGGTCCTCGGTTTTGATTGTAATGTTTTATTAAACAATCATAATTAATTTTCCAAGGATTTATCTTGCTACACTTATTTTCTGTGCGTTTCACTATCAATATCTACATATTTTTCTTTGCTCTTTTCTAATGATGCGTTTGCTCATTGTCAACCGAATTTTAAAAAAAAAGAAAAAAACATTACTATTTGTTACAAAAATTCCTCCAACTTCTCTTCCATTACGAGATTCGTACAAAATGATATCGATATTCAAAATTTACACAAAATTAAATTTAAACGCTTAAACTTATAATTAGATAAAGGAATTGCTGTCGATCGAGTCGCGTATATTCACAATTACATGTATATATTGTGCAAATACACACATATACATATACACAAGAATATAGCTTTACAATTTTTTGTAAAAAATATTCCATCGATATTTTTATCATTTCTATTCTTTTTTTAAGCTGAAATGTATGAAAATATTCGACGAAGTGGAGGGAAAAAAGACAACGAAACGAAACGGAAAAAGAAAACAGGTTGATCAAGCAAACGAATCATTATTAACAAAATTCATTTGTTAAATTTCTTTTTTTTTTTTTTTTTTTTTTTTCCCGTACAATAGTCTTTGTTCCTTCGCAATGGAAAAAACAAAAACAAAATACGAATCGTACATCGTATGACAGGTATTCATTATTATACCTGTTCTTCTATTCGATTTCGCGATTTCGCTTAATACATAATAATCTTTACAGTTTTTTCCTCATTTTTTTTTAATATTTTTGTCTCCTTTCTTTTCTCTATAAAAATGAAATAATAACCGCGTATATGAGACTTATTACGTTACGCATACATTTTTAGAAAAAAATGGGGGAAATGTACGAAGTGGACCAGAACATAAACATTGTATTTTTATTAATACACTTTCAAGATTCATTGACATATGCCTGTTTATAAACGAGAGCCTCGACGAGAAACTAATAAGAAGCGTAGACAAGTGGATAAAGAAAACAGGCAATTAATGTTTATTTATGGTAAGAGGCGAGTGAATAAAAAGAAGCGACCCGTGAAACGAATTCTATATATAAAAAAAAAAAAAAAAAGAGTTCTATTTCTCTTTTTTTCCTTTCTTGTTTTAAACAAGCTGCACCCTTTGATTCTGATTCCTGATATTGATATTATAAGGATCAAGAATCAACTTCAAATTACGAAATCATTTTCACAGGTCAACCCACCTGACGGAGATTATTTTTTTCTTTTTTACTTGCTTGTACTTGTAATAACACATACAGAAGTTTCTTTTTTTTTCTTTTTTTTTTTTTTTTTTT